GCGAGCGTTGCCCTAGCTCAGCTCCAGCATGCATGCATGCGCCGGCCAGCTGATTTTCAGGCCTTCTGGACCCACCGGAAGTCAGGAAACGGGCTGTTTCTGGCCTCCAGAGGGCCTCCGGGGGGTTGGGAAGGCTTTTTTTTACCCAAGAAAGCCTCTGGAGCCTGGGGAGGGTGAAAAACAGGTCTACCAGGCCCACTGGTAACCTTTTTGTCATTGCGTGCCAAAAGCGGGGGGAGCACACATGCGCGGGAGTGGGGAGGCGTTAAATGGTGTGGGCACGCGGGTGCACGACCGCTCCACGCCCCCCCCCCGTGCTTTTGGCACACGATGGCAAAAAGTTTAGCCGTCACTGCTATAGGCCATATCAAAGCACAAGGTGCAAACACATATCGCCAATAAATCTTATACAAACAATTTAAAATAAGAGTAGGGTATCATACAATAATTATAGGATAAGATACAATATAATTTAATACATAAATATATAAAATAGAATAAAATGACATAAAATTATATTTCGGTATCACCCTTACAATCTACCCCAATCAGTCCCACGTATGCAGATCTCAACCGAACCATTTTGTTTAAGTACTGTGCTGTGTTAAATGTTATTTTCAGATTCTGGCTGCACATAAAGTAAGTTGTTTTGATATGGGGATCCCAATAGGTCATTTGTTTGGTATATGGACCAAGGAACCTGTCTCTCACCCCCTTATACAAGCATTAAATTTGTTTTAAATATTTATATGTAGTGGTGTGCAGCACTTCTGATTCAATTTCCAAAAGATGCTTCAGAAGGCTATACAGTATTGCTAAAGGTTTATTTAGAATCCATGTAATCTCATTAGTTGACCTGGGGTATTTCCAGACAGATGACAGCTAGTGCTAATAAATTTTTCTTGTTCTTTCTCTAAATCATAAAACAGAATTGCAAGTATCTGTCAGTATTATAGAAATACATCCCATTTCTTACATGTACATGCTTATTTTACAGGTTTATAAATTTCTTCAGTGCTGTTTATAATCCCGCTATGCATAAACTAGATTAAAACTACTAAGAAAAACTAATAAATGTAACACATTACAAGGTAAAATATTTCTATGCTGAGGAACTATAAAAACCCATATAGGTTATTTGTTGTTATATTCAATCTCTACCAGCATAATTCCAGTTCCCCAGTTGCTGTAAAAACAAATGCCAGCTTTCTTTTAAGAAGCATCTATTTCAGAATTACTGGGTATGGATGTTATGTTATTGGAATTTTTTCTCTTGACAAATGTTGATAAAAATTTAATTGAGAACAGAATAGGAGGGTCCCAGGTATTTGTAGATAGAGTCATTGCATTCCTTTTAATTAGTTCTTTAATCTTGCAATTATCTTCTATAAATATTTCAATGTATTTCAAAAGAGGTTTTATATCCTGAATGGAAAAAATAAAAATCACTCCTTCTACCTTTAACTTTGAAGATTTTTGACCTTTAACGGGGACATATAAATATTCCTCAGACACCTTTCCTCCTTTATCCAAATATATATTTATATTTATGTTCTTAAAGTCAGCATGCCATTATTATGTGTGGATATTTGTCAATTTAAAAAAATGAATTTCATCCCAAAACTAAGCCAAAGAGTAAGGGACTGAATGAGCAACTTTACTTTCTAGTTAGGATACAAAATCATCAGAAGACTTGCAGGACAATCTCCTGTCACTGAGCATTTTACATATGTACAAAAGCAAAGACTTGCCAAACCATCATTGATATTATGCTTGTAGGTTAGCAATGTCAGTACAGAAAGTAGCATTGTGAATACAGAAAGATTTTTCTATTAGTATCTTCCATATACAATGGAATAAACTAATATATTCCACTTACAAAATACCTTAATATTAAGACTCTTCAGATCTTTCAATATATTTTTTTGCCTATTTTTGGCTTCCATCCAGTCTATATAGTTTTGTGGCTTCCATCCAGTCTATATAGTTTTTGCATGAAGAAAACAAATTACATTCTGTGATTCTCATTTTCCTAAGAATATTCCACAGCTTGACCTGGTTGAAATAATTTAAGGCTTTTCTATAGTTAATAAAGCAGATACTGCCTTCTTAATTATCTAACAAGCATCAACAATAATATTCCTTCTTTTTCTTACAAAGAATTTAAACATTCTGGCATCTCCCTTTCCATATCAGTATGATCCTAATAATTATTTTGCTAGCAGGTGAAATAGTGTTAAAATGATGTCCTTTCTTTGACATTGGTATGTGAACAGACTTACTGTTCTTCTCCATATATCCTAGCTAGCTACTTTTTGGTTGCTTGCCATAATTCTATAGCTATTCCACCAATTCCTGTACCCTTGTAACTTGGTAATGACTGGAATGCTGATCTGACTTCATTTTCTAGTTTTTCTAAATAGAACTTTTCTATTCCCTTCTGATACTCATCTGCCCAAAGCATATGCCCAAATATAGCATCTGCTATATTGCTGCTGCCCAACATAGATGCCTGGTAGATATCTGGGATGAGCTACAAGGCTTGGGTGACTTTTGGAAGTACATATTCTTTACATACACTCATCCATATGTTTCATAATTAATAATGTGCATTTAAACCTAAAAAGAATCGAAGCAATTCTAAATTGGCACATTTTATTATAGAAAATATTTGTTAACATACTGAGGCTGTAACAAACCTACATTGTTGCAGTTGTTTTGATTACTGGATCTTTCTTGCTAACAAGAACATGTATGAGGAAATGTTTGATAACTGAGGCGCTACAGAACATGCAAGTAGAAATTCATGCATGAGTTCTCACTTAATAACCTGTGTGGTCCTGGGGGTTACAATAGCAACTGGGACTGCCAGGATTACTATTACTAAACAATGTGATCATATGACATTGTATTTTACAATCACATCACTCCAATTGCCATTACAATCCAACCATATATATCCAAATCAGAGATGGTACTCAGCAGGATCTGACCAGTTCTAGAGAACTGGTAGTGGAAATTTTGAGTAGTTCGGAGAACCGGTAAATACCACCTCTGATTGGCCCCACCCTCATCTATTCTCTGCCTCCCGCGTCCCAGGTGATCGGGAGGAAATGGGGATTTTGCAGTAACCTTCCCCTGGAGTGGAGTGGGAATGGAGATTTTACAGTATCATTCCCCTGCCACGCCCACCATGTCATGCCTCGCCCACCAAGCCACACCCACAGAACTGGTAGTAAAAAAAATTGAATCCCACCACTGAGTAGCTTTCTGTCGAAGCTAAATATAATTATATATTTGGGTCAGTGGTGGGATTCAAAAATTTTTACTACCAGTTCTGTGGGTGTGGCTTGGTGGGCGTGGCATGGCTTGGTGGGCGTGGCAGGGGAAGGATACTGTAAAATCTCCATTCCCTCCCCACTCCAGGGGAAGGTTACTGCAAAATCCCCATTTCCTCCCAATCATCTGGGACTTGGGAGGCAGAGAATAGATGGGGGAGGGGCCAGCCAGAGGTGGAATTTACCGGTTCTCCAAACTACTCAAAATTTCCACTACCAGTTCTCTAGAACTGGTCAGATCCTGCTGAATACCACCTCTGAAGCTACTACCTCTTCCATTGGACAATTCTCTTGCTATTGTGTCTGCCCACCTTTCTCTTTCAGGAAAGCAATGGACAATCACCTTTTCTCTTGTGAGCGAACACATATACTTTGTGTGTTTGTGTAGGTATGTGCACATACGTTTGTGTGTATATGAAAATGAAACACACACATAAGGGTATGCATTCACACAATATTAACTTTATATATATACAAAGATGGAGCATCAAGATACACAGACATTCTTCCACACAAAATATGGACTGGTGCAATGTATATAAATCACTTTATTAGCATAATTATTTGACAATTTTACATTTCATTTTTGGTTTTCATGGAAAGGAACAAAGAGCTTTTGGTCTTTAATTCTCCTGTTTAGGCTTCTGAAATTGATCACTACTTTTCCCAACCAATCTTTGCATTCCAAGGCGTGTATGCCTGCTTTTATTGAGATTAAAGATATTTTGCTTCTTCCAGTTACTAATTCTTGAGCTTATGCAGCGTGATTATCCAGCCTATACTAAATAACCTGATCTCAGTTTATAAAAAGTGTGAGTACAGAGGGAAGTATTGTATTTCCTTCTTCTAGAAGTCCATTTCATGAGGTCACTTGATTTTTGTGTGACAATACACTAGAACGATCGAAAGAACTTCAGATCAAATAGAGCAGCACATAATTAGCACAGTAAGGATATCTTCATTAACTGGGATGAGTGGCAAACAAATTTAATAAATAAAATAAACTTACATCTACCAACCAGTTTTGGTCAGTTTTGCTACTAAGAGTGAGCCTACTGCTGCATTAGACAGTTAACTATTTTAGTATGATTTCCTGATAAAAAAGAGGAATGAAATGGCAGGAAATCCCAGAAGGCTATGTCAGAAGCTGGCTGATGTCAGGCATTCAGGGTGTGAGATGAGGAATTTGATAAGTACACTCTACATACCAATAATAGGTTGGTTTTCTATTATAGCAGTTTTCTCAACATTTAAAGAGAATGAGTGTCACTTGCAAAGAATGATAATAAAATACCCAGCTATAGACAAAGAAAACAAAGCTCACAAGGCTTCAAGCAAGCAATATTGTGCCTAGAAATCTAAGTGAACAATCTTTATCTTTTATCTTTCCATTTATTATAACAACAACTGATATTCCTTTTAAACATTAAAAATAAGGTTTCAGATGCAGGTGGCAGCATCTGGCCAACTTTGTCCGGCATTTGGAAGTTCACCAGAGTTGGACCTGCTGAATAATTGGATGGGACACTTCCCAGTAATATTAGTATTGTAGGCTAGATTGGGAACTTCTTTACCTTTTACTGAGAAATAGAAAGTGGAGGACTTTACAGTTTTCAAACAAGATTGAATTGTTTATTGTCATGGGTATCTTAATGAACTCACCTCTCCTCCAGTGCAGGGGAAATGGCTGGAGTATCTTGAAGTGCAAAGTGCGTCTTTCTTAGTTACATCATCATCCAACTCAAAGGCTGCTGAACAGTTGATGGAAAAATACTTATAAGGCTTCCAAGTTTTTCCAAAATCCTGAGATCGCTCTAGGACCATGGCTGCTGGTCTTGGTGACTTGAATATCATGATCAAATGAGTGAAATAAAATTCAGTTTCCAAATTGAGCTGGATCTTCTCCCTCTCTACTCCTTGTGCTGATTGCCACCATGTGTGTGGTAATCTAAAAGATGAATCAACCATAGCAGAAGGTGGATGAGCCAGATGTGTATTCATAGAGTTGCATTTGCTAAACTTAGGCCGCTTGCATAAGAGGTCTGTATTTTCACTATAAGAACAGTATAATTCTGTGGAGTTGTATCCACATGTTGTATCTGTCCACAATTTACGTCCATGACCTAGGTTTCCCATTTGAGGATTGCATGCCTTCTCACAGCGAGACCCAGTTCCAGGAATACTACTCAATCCTAAATAGGGAAAAAAAAAAAGACTAAATTAAACTCCTCATATGTATCCAATCCCTAGTGAGATATTGAGTTTGTTTTCTTACAAAATAAGAAAGCATAGTTAAATAAACAATGGATCCCTTATACTCTCAATCTCAGACCAGCTCCATTGTATATCTAGATAAATAAAAATACTCAACTATTTTATAAGGCTGTTTTAAGGAATATTGTGATAATTTTTGTTGAAAACATTGACCATTTATATCAAATGATTTTCCTAAGAAATAAATTTGTCCAAAACTCTTGAAATACTCAATTTCATTGTAACTAAATTAATTCCAGGCAGGTCTTTATTTATAGGAATATTATTGCTCTGTTGTACAACACATACCATACTTTTCATGCAGTTGTATAGCACATACTTTTCATGTTCAAATATTAACATCACTAAGTACAAATCTCTTCTGCCAGAAATCTTGAAAGACCCCTGCCAGTCAGTGATAATTATTTGGGGAAGAATGGATGACTGGCTCAGTATAAAGCAACTACTTGGGTTCTTGTGCAAGTCTAAACTAGTGGTGGGGTTTGCCCCAGTTCATACGAACTGGTAGTGGCGGCGGCGGCAGGCTCCACCTACCCGCCCAGATGTCATGCGCTCACAGTTCCGAATTGGTAGCGAAGGTAAGTGAAACCCACTATTGGTCTAAATATTACAAAATAATATACTGCACATTACCAAGAAATTACTAAAAATTATTAAGTGGAAGATAATTATTAAACAAATGTCAAGAATACATAGATAATAATAGCATTGTCTGTTTGATGCCTAAGGCATCCCTTTTTCTTTTCTTTTTGACTCATGAAATGTATTTCAAACCTTTCGGTTTACATAAGCACTCAGTTAAAACAAATTTAAAATTGGAGAGTAAGATCAATAGTTAACAGCAAATGTATGCATACTATTTTCAGAGGCTGTGGGATGTGTGCCGACTCCTTGTATAAATGGGGAAAGACACCTTCAGCACAATGCAATTGTTGCCCCCCCCCCCCCCCCCGACAGACTATCCAACATATAGTGAGGGAATGCTCTAACAGAAGGTATCCAGGAGATTTTAGGGACTTCCTCTGCATAACAACGACAGCTACTGACTGGATCTCCAAACTCAACATTAAACGCTGAAATGTTATTTCTGTTTTCCTCTTAGGTTTTCTTACTGCTCTTTTTTTAATTGTTTTAATTGTTTTAACCTGTAAAAATGAAGTGTTTTAATATTGTGTGTGACCAGCCATACACTAAATAAATAAATCAGAGGCTGTCTACTCCAGTCATTTCTTCTGCTCTATGCATCCTATCACTCTTTGCTTAAACAATGGAATGTTCATTTGCAATAAATTGTACTTATTTCTCAGAAAAAAACATATTTAGAATCAAGGTTGATTTTTACTTTGAAAAGAAAAGTTGTCCTATCTTACATGCAGACAGCACGCTTATGCCCACAAAAAGAAAAAAGTACACTGGTAAAGGTCACATTATAATATCCAACTCTTTTCAAAGTGCTGTACAAACATTAACTAATCTATATAGGCCTCCTGAGAAGTAAGGAAATATTTTCAGGTGTGTTATCAGTTACAAGTGCCATAAATTGCCTCAGTTAACATGCCGGCTGTTAAATTCTTCACTTTCATTATGCTACATAGGTCCTTTACTTGCTATATAATCAGGTTTACTGTAGTAATTTGATGTCTATGAAGATTTTCAGTTATCCATGGTTGCCCTAAAGGCAATTGGACTTCCTTTGTTTTTTCCTTTAAGATATTTTGCTTCTCATCCAAGAAGAGAAGTGAAATGTCTTCAAGGAAAAGACAAAGTCCTGTTGCTTTTTGAAAAAGCACTTTTGGGTAGCAACTTGATCTATTCCATTTTTTGCTATCTAGCAAAGGAAAAATCTGAAGCATAAAAAATGTACCTTAGAGAAAATAAGTAATGTTATGTATATCCTGTGAGTTAAACTACATCTGCATGCAATCTGATACATATGCAATCTTTTTTGAAAAAGCTTGCCTTGCCTTTTAAACTCAAATGTCTAATCCATACAGGATTAGATAAAATACTGAAAACATGCAAAATTAGGCTTATGCTTCCTGAGTATTGGTCAACACTCTTTAGAAAAATAGGCAGCGGGGAGTTCACAACCAAAGGAAGGAATTAGGAGACCAAACAGGATTAGGAGAGCTTTGTTAGAGAATATAGCAGGAGAGAAAGCAGGCGAAAAAGAAGCTGGCTTGAGATACTGGCAAAAGGATGGTATCAGTGGCATCAGTGGAGCAATGGGAACTTGGAAGCTGTGTGCTGTGTTTACCAGAAAATTATGCTAATTACCTCTGTGGCAAACACTAGCATTTCTCTTTGCAGAAGAAAAGGGTGAAAGAACTGGAGACCAGCCATTCTTTTTTATACACATCAGGGATCGTGACACTCACAGCAGTACTGCACAAACAGCTTGCCACAAAGGCTGACAGAACGAGGCCTTTAAGGGGCAGGGCACAGGAAGTCACCCAGAGACAGGGTCAATAAGGGAACGGCACAAGAAGGAAGAAAGGACTTCAGTGGAGGGATGAGTATTTGGAGGATTGTGACAAGAACGACAAGTTGAACATGGTGGTTGGTCCTCCACATCAAGGAGTCGATCAAAGAATGCAAACATGGAAGCCAAGCACCATCTACCTGAGAAAGTTTTATTATTTCAGTCTCTCCAGCTCTGGTCAACAAAACCAAGAAACTCAACTGAAACCTCCATTGAGGAGGAAAGAAGAGCAGTGGTGGTAGTGGTGAAAAAAATCACTAGTATGCTAGATATAAGAAGCCATAGTAAGGGGAACTCTGTGTTGGTGCACAAATTCAAAATATGAAGGAAAGATTATCAAGACTCATCAATCTGATCACTATCCATTCCTGTTTATCCAAGTACGGTTAACCAATGTTGCTAAAAGAGGGTTGCAAGAAATTATGAAACTAGGGTAAAAAGATGAAGCTATATGGATTGTAGGAAGTGCTTTCATCACCCTTTCATACATAGTCAAGGAACAATAAAGGAAAGAAAATCTTGGAGGTGAACAAGTAGCCATGAAAATGGTGTTGTCAAGAAAGAATTGGATTCCTAAACCATGGTCTTCTTTAACAGTAAGAGATTCTTTTAGATGGGGTGAAGTGCACCTCATAAAAACAGGAGGCAATTATTTTGCCAGGAACCTTGTGAATTTTATGCCCTTAAGGTTCCTGTGTCTCCTTGTGTCTCACTGGGCCATAGTGTTAAAAAAGGAAACAAAAGCCAGTTGTTCTGTCCCTTAATTCGGAAGATTCTTAAAACAAATATAAAATTGAAACCTTTTCTTTCAGGACCTTGGATAAATAACGTGAAAAAACGTGGAACTTTGTTGCTACATTGTTGACTGTGGCGAGAATCCTATATGTGCACAAATGGAAATACACATCAATTTCCACAATGGAAGATGTGATGGAGAAAGCGATGGAACTGGCAGAGATGGCAAAACTTGCTTTAATTAAATAAAAGAATTTACCCAGTTTTGTTTCTACTTGGAAACTGCTTCTGGACTTTATGCTCAAAATCAAAAAAATGAAACTTTGATCTTATGCTTTTGATGATTAGATTATTTTGTTGTTATAGAAATGGCTAGTAATTACTAAATATGTAACACTTTTACTTTGTACCTTTTCCCATTCCCTTCCCCCATTCCGTTAGTATTTTTGTTTCTATCTGTATTTTATATAATAAACTTCAATTAAAAAGAAAAAATCTAATCTAATCAGCTAATCATAACATTATGAAAAATTTTTTTGACATCAGTTCCCTTTTTATACTTTCTGCTTTTCTATTTCTGTTTTCTTCCTCTCTTAGTCCAAAGTTTATTGTTAAGATGCACTTTATTTGTTAGATTTCTATCCAGTGTTCAATCCAAGAGCTTGAGGAAGTGAACATATATTCCTTTGTCTTACAACAGTCCTGTGAGGTTGGGTTGATTATTTGTACACTATACTGGATAATGAACTGAAACCTGTAGTATCAGACAAGACCCTGCATGAGGTAGTACTGTAGAGGGATTTAGAGCTGATCTTGGGGAAGATATGAGGGAGCCATTAAGCATGGAAGAAAGGAGTAAGCCATTAAGGAGAGTCTTTGACATGAGATTACGATGTCCAGAGATAGAAAGTAGCATGAAAAAGAAACTCAGAATAACCGCACCTTCGTTTTGTTTAGTATAAACAAAAAGAAAATAAAGAGAAATTTGGACAAGCTTTCCAGATTGATGCCAACCCTTTGAAGTAGGCCAGGGGAAGAAACACTTTATTGTTGTAAGGTATATTAACAGAAACTTGAAAACCTGTCCAAATTTTTCTCTCAAAGGAAAATCCAAGGTGGAATTAGTTTGAGTTTCCTTTTCATGTTTCCTTCAGTTTCAGGGCAATGTAGTCCAAGTCCCTTAATTAATCCTTGCTGCACTTTTTCTAAATTACATTGCCTGGTCTGAATATAAATAATGTAGCTTCATTAACAGCTTTCTTATTTTTGTTTTATTCCTCAAATCTATATGAGATGTTTTCCACTAATTAAAGTAAAAATGCCAGCATGTGGCATTCATGGAATAGACATGAATGCAAAAATATAATCCTCAGGTATAAATATTCAGAAGGAAAATCAATATGAAAAGAATGTCAGCAGATCACAAATAATCTCTAAATTGTTCATTGCAACTAATGATAATCAGAGAAAACAATTGTCACACACATTCCAAGGAGTAATTCTCTGTAATCTTTTGAAATCATGCCACTGGAATTACCTTAAGTATCTTTTTTCTGCTTCTGTTTAAACAATTGTACTGTTTACTTAATGTGTAAAGAATGAAGTGTTTGTAGTAAGTAAATTCTGTCATCCTACATTGCCACATAGTTATGGTAGTTAGTCTTTCTTTAATTCCACTTAAATGACACATTACATATTTTTTGTTGATTCAGGGGAACTAATAAGGATGGTTTAGGATTCAGGGCTATATGTTTAGTTTGGTGTACAGTATACCTTCTATAGAAATACTATTTATTACCGAGTGCCTATATTGTTGCACTCTGCCAGTGAATGAACTAATAAGATCAAGGGTTCTGCATACCTTTTTTGGACAGGGTTTATGCCTTTGAGTAAGTCTTGAACCTGATTAGGTTCTTGCAGTTTTCTCGGCAAGGGTTTTCAGAAGTGATTTGCCAATGCTTTCTTCCTAGGGTTGAGAGAGAGCGACTGGCCCAAAGTCACCCAGATGGCTTTGTGCCTAAGTCAGGACTAGAATTCATGGTCTCTCCGCTTCTAGCCTGGCGCCTTAGTCACTGTACCAAACTGGCTCTCTAAACACCCATTACATCAGAATACCCATTATTCCACTATTTTTCAAGCGAGGAAGGAAAGCTGCAATATTAGAACAAAATGCTCTTATATTCGGCGATTTTAAAATTCCATTTCCTAAGGTCATGCTAAGTCATATGCAAAAACGCGGTATATTCTCTGCGGAATAGATTTAAAGAAATTCGTCTTTCTCTCTCTTGCTCAACTCCAGCCCTTTAATGATTTTCTTCTAAGCTCACGGAACCGCTACCTCCGTTTAGAAAGCGAATTTCACCTCGTTTACTTACAATACAAGCACCTCTGGCTCTGAGTTGAGTCGAAGGAGGAACTCTGCGAGTGACAGGGGGGCGTTTTTCGGCTTCCGTCCCAAGCAGAGGAGGGAACGGTGCGGGAGAAGCACCCCAGAGTCAACGTCCCCCGCGCGGAACCGTTTCTAAAAGCGTCTTTTTTCCTCTCTCAGACCTGCGAGGGGGAGAGAGACACCCACCTGCAGAGCAGCCCAGCAACACGAGATGCCAGAAGGGACTCCTCATGGCGGAGCGCGGGGCACCGAGCAGGCATGCAGTCCTGTGGGCGCGAACCCTCGATCTGGGCGCCGCTAAGGACGACAGCCAGCCTCCCTCGCCAGAGGTCCCCCCCGTAGGGCGACGGCCGGAGGACCGATCGAGCCAACCCGAACTGCGGGCGCTACCGCGGGCATCTTTTTCGCTCCTGGTCGTAGCCGATCACCGCCAGCCCTGTTCCCTCGCCGCCTCTGCCGCCGCCTATTTCTCCCCGCTGGGGGATCCCCGGCCAGGTGCATTAAGAAGAGGCGCCGATCCTCCTCTCCCGCCCCTCCGGCTCGTCTCCTTGTCCCGAGTGACAGCCTGAGAGGGGAGTGGCGGCGGCGGCGGCGGCGGTGGTGGCTGAGGCTCATGCTAGAGCGGCGGCGGCGGCGCCCCAGGAGGAGGAGGAGGAGGCGGCGAAGGGCCGGCTCCAGCTGCTCCCACCCCTCCCGTCTGTCATAGTGGGGAGTAGAGACCGCCTTTGGTCGCTCCCCTGGTCGCCCCCGCCGCCTGCCTTTCCTCCCCACCCAGCCCGCCTCGGCCCTCCAGGGGGCCTGGTACTACGGCACGCAAAGAACGGGCTGCCCCTGTCCCAACGCCGCCCTCCCGGCTCTCTCCTCGCGGCATTCCTCAAACCCACTGACTTTTGTCCGCTGTCACTTCGCGGCACGCCAAGGTGCTTCAGCCGGGCGGGTAGCCACTTCTTTCCTCGCTTCCCCCCCTTTATTTATTTGTTTGTTTGTTTGTTTGTTCGATTTATATGCCGCCCTTCTCCGGAGACTCAGGGCGGCTTACAATGCGCTAAGCAATAGCCTTCATACTTTTGGATATACCTGCTTAGTAGGGCTTTGGGGCCCCCCAAAGCGGTGTTCTTTTTTATACAAAGTCAGTTTATTGCCCGCACAATCCGGGTCCTCATTTTACCTACCTCGGAAGGATGGAAGGCTGAGTCAACCTTGAGCCTGGTGGGATTTGAACTCTCAATAATTGCAGGCAGCTGGCAGCTAAGTGCTACTTAACAGCACTTTAGTCCGCTGCACCACCAAGCCTTTCACCCCACTCTGCCTTCTTCCCTCCCAGCTGGCCTCTGAGGGCAACTGACCTCCTTACCCCACAGTCCCCGCAGCCATCTTCCCTGGAGGTACTCTTGCCTTGACACCATGGGGGGGGGGAGGCCACCTGGGCTGCTTTCTTTTTCTCTCTCTGCTTGCCTCCCGCACCATCTCCCTAACCTGCTTCCATTAGAAAAAAAATTGGTGTCTCCAGTTTAGATATTAAAGATGGAGTGTGCAGACTTGACTGCATTGGCCATGAATGCCATCCAGTGCTCATTTTACATTTACGAAGTCTTTGGGAAAACAATATTTTATTTTTTACACATCTCACCAAAAGCAACTCTGGTGGCACACAATAATTACAAGACAAAAAGATTTCCTGTGGTGTCCCATTCTAGGGGGCCATGCTCATCTCAGTTTCCTAGCCAAGGGAGCCAGTGTTGTCCGAAGATGCTTCCGTGATCATGTGGATGGCATGACTATACGGCAAGAGACACAGAATATTGTTACTTTCCCACTGAAGTGGTACCTATTTATCTACTTGCATTTACATGCTTTCAAAGTGCTAGGTTAGCAGGAGCTGGGACAGGATGGGAGCCCACCCTATCATGCTTGAATCTTGAACTGCCAACTTTCTGGTTGACAAGCCCAGCATCTTAATCGCTAAGCTACTATGCCCCTACACAACAATTCAGTTCCACTAAAAGAAGGTTTTAAAAAACTTTTGCTTTGATTATGGAAACATTTTATTCACTGAATTACTGTTTCTGCAATAGAAGTTCACAAGCTTCTTAATGGATTCTCAGAAGGAATCCATTAAAAAAAAAAAACACTGATCAGGTTTGTCCAATCACAGCTGGAGTATTGTAGAAACTTGTTCCAGCTTTGCCTGAGTCTGAAGCAGGCCTGTGTTTGCTTAGGAGCAAGGGTTGATAGCCAATAGCAATAGCCAACTGCAAAAATAATCTGCCAAAGACATGCTGTGACTGCTGAATGTTCTCCACCCATTGGCAACTTCTAGCATGACATGTAATAGTAGACCCCTTCTCTTTGAATTATCTGTAGTGTACAGTGTTTATTAATAAAGTTCAGAATTTTCTCCACTTATTTTAAATGTCCAGTCTTTTGAAATAAGAAACACAGGGGCAGTTGGATTAGACAGCTAGCTAGTATGTTGATGCATGGCTTGATCAGTACTTGCTGTTGTGCCATAGTGCTCCTGTAGTAAACATACAAATTATGTTTGCCCTATTATAGCTTTTGGGCCCTTTTAGTATCCATTACAGATTACAGATATTTTTTAGTCTGCTTTTATTCATATATCTACAGTTTGCAGACAGAATCTTTATGAGGTCACTGCTCATCTTGAATTACCTGATAAGTCAATATAGAGAACAGCAGCCCAACCTACCTGAAACAGGCAGATCGCTTTGGGAAATCATGGCATCATTTCATGATTGCAGGTCAGGGTTTCTACTGAGTGAAGGGGTTGTTTATATCTCTTACCACTCTTTTACATGCTGAGATTTAAAGTTGGCAGAAGGAAGTAAAACTGTAGGTGCAAACTACTTTTTCAAATGGTCCCTTTTGGTGGTGGTGAGGAGTGTATTATGCTCTTTTGTTGTTGCTGTTTTTGGATGATATTATTGTGGGCAGAGAAAAACCTGATTGCAGAAGAACCTGAATGATTAAATTCCCATAGAAATGAAATGCTACAATTTAGCAGAGATGTTGGAGGCAGGGGGCATGATGAGAAATCCCCACAGGGAAAACATGCCCAATCATAATAATGTTAGCCACCACCCCTTTTCAAGAAAAGGACTTGGCATCACATTCAAAAGCCAAGGGAAAAAAAGAACTACACTTCATATCCAAAGTTGTTCTACAATGCAGAGGAGGAACAACCAATCAGGGCCTATAGTGGTCATTGTCTGGACTCAGCACCTTCTCTGTCCCTTGACAAACTGGTGCAATCCAGTCAGGATTTTTAAAAGTTGTCTTCCCTCACACAGCTCTCAGCTGTTTCTGAAGCAACTTTAAAAATTTCCTCTCTGGATTCTAGTAATTTGTCAAGGGGCAGGATGGGTTTGAGTCCAGACAACAACCATTGCAGGCTCTGATTGGTTGTTCCCCTGCTTCTTGCTCTTCATGTCCATGAAGGGAAGGAAAGCCTCATTCTGTGTGTTTGCGTGTGTGTCTCTGTTTGTGCTAGTTTATCAGTACCTGCCTTGTCCTTCAAAACGTCTTCCCTTCTTGCTGGTGTCCCATTTTTTTCATTCACTTTCCCAGATATTTGACCACTTAGATGCCTCCACACTCCTTTCCCATAATCTCTCCTTTGATACTAATGCACTCTCCACCCTCATTGTATTATTGTTTCTTTGGTATTGCAATGATTAAAACAAAGGAAAAATGCTTGTTTCTTGGTCTCTTTATTACACTGTGGGACAATGGAAACATTGTAGTAAGCAAGAACTGATAGTTCAGATAAGAACAAGGAACATTTAGGGGTACTTTGTAACTTGATTTCAGCATGCACATGTTGCAACTTAAAGATAAGAAGGGAAAGGGGAGGGGAGGGGAGGATTAGATGCGGCACAAAGAAAAGAGTACACTTTGCCCAGTTTGGACAGAAACTGAAAGAAGGCCTATTAGGAGATGCCAGGGTGGAATGAAGGTGTGCTGGGTAAAGAGGTGGAGAAAACATGGTAGCCTGAAGATTTACTGCCCTCCATGGTCCTTATGGGTCATCATTGGGTTAACTGGAATGTATAAAAATAAAGGAAGCTGCTGAGCAATTGAGAATATAGCAGTTCAGCAACCGGGGATGAAATAGCCATAGGATGATCAGCTGCTGGAAGTATGGGCATCAGAGGTGGGCTTCAGCGGGTTCTGACCAGTTCTGGAGAACCGGTAGCGGAAATTTTGAGTAGTTTGGAGAACCGGTAGTAAAAATTCTGACTGGCCCCACCCTCATCTATTCTCTGCCTCCAAATCCCAGCTGATTGGTAGGAAATAGGGATTTTACAGTAACCTTCCCCTGGATTGGGGTGGGAATGGAGATTTTACAGTATCCTTCCCCTGCCATGCCCACCAAGCCACGCCCACCAAGCCATACCACACCCACCAAGCCACACCCACAGAACCAGTAGTAAAAATGTTTGAAACCCACCACTGATGGGCATGCTAGATACTGTAGCCAGTTGAAATTGAGGATGTTCCTAGACTGGAATGAAGCTGGAAACGGAAGGCTCTGGATTGGGAAATAGTACAGCTGAAGCAAAGCAAAGTTTAAAAATACAGGCAGGAGTGCATATACTATGGCCTGGAAATCGGTGGAAGACAATGATATCTATTCCTGCTTTCAAGAAATGATGGTTAGCCCATTCTGGCAACTGGACAAGCAGAAAATGTGGCCTGGTCTAGATAGTGAAAAGTTTCTGATTTGGCGGTAGATAGAACGTTTTACTGGTGGACAAAGGGAACAACAGTTGGTGCTCTGAAGTGTTTAGGAAATTTTTTTTTAAAAAAAAATTGACACGAACATATACTTATTTTGATTTCTAGTAGGATGATTTAAATTATTAAACATTTTATTATAACAATTAAAAGTGGACAGTGGGGTTTATTTTTTAACTACAAGCCTGACCAAAGTTCACTATTTAATATATTGGTGTCTGTATAAGTATGTAGCATTCTTGTTATAATTTAACAGGAAGTCTTTGCATGGGGTGCAGTTATTCAGATTCTTTTAGCCATCTGAATTTCTGTCATGTGTTTGGTTTGGTTTGGTTAGGTCTGGTCTGGTCAATTTTGGAGGCGGGGGTGTCAATTTTCTTCCCATTTTTTCCCAGTGAAGTTCCACTGCAATGTATGCATGTATGTACAATCTTTGTTTAATGACCACAGTTGGGACTGAGTGATGGGTCATTAAGACTTCATGTGACCACTGGTTTGCTATCAATTTCTCCATTGACGCTGCTTCTTGAAGCCTGCTGTAAAGCATGTAAATGGCAATCATATCACCATGGGACACTGTGATGTTTATATACACTTACCAGTTGCAAAGTGTACAAATCTTGATCACATGTCTGCAGGGATGCTTCAACAGTTGTAAGTGTGAAGACTCATCATAAAGTTATTTTTTCAAACAGCAGTCATTAAACAAGGACTAACTGTTTGTATGTATTCAATATGTATGGCCACCCATCTCAAATCCATGAGTCTGTATGGCTAACAGCATATATCAAGAAAAACAGGA